TTTTGGAAGAACGCAGGCTAGTTATAGACTGGCCCTTAATTCCTGGTTGGCTCGTGTTTCCTCTTGATTAGATTCAGGAAAGGATGGCCTGCTTCTGAGTCAGTGTTACGCAATGCCATTTCCAGGTTCCTATGAAATCGTCTTTTGTGTGACAGTGAGAGCCACCCACACTTATCTCCATGGTTCCATTTAGTGCCTTTTAATTTATATTTCTAAAGAAACCCAGACACTGGTGTTAACCTAATCACACTATTTATCATAAGTCACATGATCCACACTATTTCATGTTGTTACTGGCCCTACCAGATATTGCATAAGTAATCTAGAATTTAAATTTTTGTTAATGTTTTATTTATTTCTGAGAGAGAGAGTGTGTGAGCAGGGGAGGGTTAGAGAGAGGGAGACACAGAATCTGAAACAGCCTCCAGGCTCTGAGCTGGCAGTCAGCACAGAGCCTGACGCAGGCCTCGAACCTATGAACCGTGAGATCATGACCTGAGCTGAAGTCAGACGCTTAACCAACTGAGCCACCCAGGTGCCCCTCCATAACCTAGAATTTAAAGAGAAGCTCTTGGGGCATCTGGGTGGCTCACTTGGTTAAAGTCACGATGTCATGGCCTGTGGGTTCCAGTTCCGTATCAGGCTCTGTGCTGACAACTCAGAGCCTGGAGGTCCCTTCAGATTCTGTCTCCCTCTCTCTCTTCCCCTCCTCCACCTGTCTGTCTCTCTCTGTCTGTCTCTCAAAAATAAGTAAACATTTAAAAATGGAATAAATAAAGAGAAGCTCTTCTGGGGAGCCTGGGTGGCTCTGTTGGTTAAGCGTCCAACTCTTGGTTTTGGCTCAGGTCATGATCTCGTGGTTTCATGAGTTCTAGCCCTGAGTCAGGCTCTATGCTTGCAGCATGAACCCAGCTTGGGAGTCTCTCTCTCTCCTTCTCTCTCTGCCCCTCTCCTACTTACACTGTCTCTGTCTCTCTCAAAATAAATAAACTTTTTTTTTTTTTAAAGAGAGACGCTCTTCCTTTATACCTTTCTCTCTTTCTGACAGGAGTTGATAATGTCTCTTATTTGAGAGTCAGGCATGGCCAGGAACAAAAGTTAAAGAGAACGAAGGAATCATGAACTGTATGTAGAGTGAGTGGTTATAGCAGTAATTCCTGCTCAATGTGACCTCCATTGTGAACAGAAGTTGGAAAGAAATAATGGAAGAGATATGGTCCCTTGTGAGGAGCTATTTGGATCAAAGAAGTCTCCACAAGCAATGTAGAAGCAGGTAGCAGATGGTAGCCAAAAAGTGTGACTCAAGTCTACTGTCCCTTCTGCTATGGGAAGTACCTTAGTAGTGTTTTTGTTGTCATCATCGTTGTGGTTGTTTTAATGTTTAGAGACAGAAAACCAACCTGAACTAGCAGAGGTAAAAAGAAAAATGTATTGGATCACTTATAGGCATCAGGAATGGATGGAACCAGCTGCTCAAATGACATCATCAGAGTATCTCAATTCAGCTTAATTCTATGTTAGCTTCTTACACCATTTGGATAGAAAAAATGGCCCCAATTAACTTACATGTTACAATCTCAAAAGGAGAGACCCACTTTCCCCGCATGTGTATCAGTCCTCCAAAGTGCCTTGGGAATGACCTTGTGTGGGTCAAGAGTCCACCACTGGGCCCATCATTGTGTTTTGAATGACGGGATACTCTGACTGACTGTGCTGTACACATACCTCCCATTTGCGAGGTAATTAAGGCATGTGGTTGACAATACTACCAAGTGTAGAAGAGGAAGCTCCCCCTAGGGAAAGATGTTATCCAAGGAAAAATTGAAGGGATACTCAGTACGAGGCTATGATGCAGCATAGAGGACGATTTATTGAGCTCTTTGATGCTGTATGGGGAAGAATTGATGCCGTATGGTGGTTAAGAGCCCAGGCTTTGGGTCTGAATCTTTACTGTACCATCCATTAGTTCCACGGACATAGGCAAGTTCTCTCTGAACCCTAGTTTCTTCATCTGTAAAATGATGAAAAATACTCTATTTTGTAAATACTCCAAGCTGTAAAATGGGTAAAATTACCATATTATCAGAGGTCTTGTGTGCAAACAAGAATTCATTTGACCTAGTTTAAGCAGAAAGAGATTTATTAGAGATAGTGGATGGCTAAGAGGACCCCGGAGGATTTAGAGAAATGGGCTCTGGGGTACATTTCCAGGAATAACTCCCAGACCTATTCTGTGTCCCCGGCTTAATCAAGGCCTTGGTGCCTTGATTCTTATTGCAGCACCGTGGAAACTGCCCCCACTGTCTACCCCAGAAGCAGCCCGCCTGCCCTGGCCACCGTACTGGCAAAACAGAAACGTCCCTGCCACTCCCGTTTCGCTGCACAGCTCACTGCTGAATCAAGCTCTCAGGCATGCGTCCGATCGCTAGACCCATGTTTACATCCTTCATAGCATGTGCCCCGTGCAGGTAAACAGAGATCCTCTCTCAGAAGGGGCCCCTGCTTGGCTGCATGGTCTACTGCTCTTGCTACCTTGAAATTCTTAGCGATTTGATCTTGGAACTGGTGTCTTTTATATGAAGTCTGGTGGGACAATGGAGCACGTGCCCTTGACAGCAGCGTGCATGCATGCGCTCAGGCCCGCAGGGGTGAGGATGCCTATGTCCTCACCTCTGACGGTACAGGGCACCGTGACGTTCCCCAGTGGTGGCTGGGCCGGGACCTGGGCCCGGCTTGCTGGTGGTGACAGCAGCAGGGAAAGAAGCAGCGGCTGTGGTGGTAGTGGCTGCTCCCTGGAGGGAGAAAAGGCTCTGCAGGAGGTAGAACAGGGACCGAAATGGGCAACCAAGCTGACTGCATCCTTGCAACCTCCGCGCAACTATGAACACAGGGAGTGTAATCTAACGTCATCCCCGAGCCTGAGAGCCAGGATAGGAAGTGCTGGTGTTAGTGGGTTACTACCAAATAAATGCAGACACATAGATAATGCAATCGACGCGTTTGGGAATCATTAGAATTCTTCAAAGAGTTTGGAATCTCTGGTTTTTACAAGTGTACAATACTGCAAAGTAAATATCGGCAGGGTTAGAAAGAGATGTTCACATTTAATATTGTCACATTTGATGGAAAAGAACACTATTTTCCTATGAAGCTTTAGATGAACCAATCAACAAGGAAGATAGTTTTATGGTTAGTTTCTCTTTTTTTTTTTTAACATTTATTTACTTTTGGAAGACAGAGAGAGACAGAGCATGAGTGGGGGAAGGGCAGAGAGAGAGAGGGAGACACAAAATCTGAAGCAGGCTCCAGGCTCTGAACTGTCAGCACAGAGCCTGACGCGGGGCTCGAACTCACAAAGTGTGAGATCATGACCTGATCGAAGCTGGATGCTTTACCGACTGAGTGAGGCGCCTCTATGGTTAATGTGTCTTTGCCATTGAAGACACGGTGATGGAATGTGTAAACAGTTTTTCTGAATTATGTACAAGTCATGGGAACACTTTCAGCTTCCTGGAGGACCCCAACAAGTTATCGGAAGTGCCAGAGGAAACATCAAACTGTCATTGTATAAATTTACATTTAAAATTAAATGCAGACTTACACAAAACTGATTTGAATGAGGAGTTAAATCTTTTCAGAAAAGTTATTCTGAAAGAATTATTAACTCTAGATGTACTAAAATTTGTATTTCAAAGCAATTCATCAAAAATGCATCCCAATTTTGTCAGAGACTATAAAATATTCCTAACAGCTCAGAAATAGTTGCAATAGTGGCATCAGAAATCAAAATCAAAATAAAATACGAAAAATTATCTGTGATCTTACATTTCCTAAGGACCAGTTGACATCATTTTTGATTACACTGATTGAAAATCGTGTTGCTAAAAGCATCAATTTTGAGGGTCTAATAAGTTAATTTTCAGAAAAGCAACTTAGAAAAATCTTAAGATCTGTCAAGATAGTACATTAATAAAGTATTGTTCCCTATTATCTGATTTAAAATTATGACATACCTTTTTTGCAATTTTAAAATTTACATTGTTACTAATATATCATTATTACCCCATAGTACAAAATGTACTTGTAAAATACAAGTAACAAAATATATTTTTTTTAGTGGATTATATCGTAGTGCACCTTTCCCTCCTACTTTTTGAATAAGGGACTGCACTCTTTCAATTGTCACTGGGCCTTACAAATTATATGCCTGGCCTTGGCTACGTGCTTGTACTTTGGGTATGAGTAAAGCTAAGAAATGTTGCTTGTGGGATTTCTACACTGAGACGGAGGGTTTCATAAAGCAAGAACTCAGCTAGTCAGGAATGACGGCATATCAGCACCCTACTCACCTCACTGGCTGCCGACCCACTAAGTATATTTATTTTCTCCTTGGGTAGTCCCAGCAAAGTCTGAAAAGAGGTCTCAATTAGCTATGTTAATCCCTCCATTCTAAGGAAAGATCAGCAAATTCTTAAGGCCAAGGCGGAGCTCACCCCTACCTCTGTGAGGGGTGGTTTTCCTAACTACCTGTCAGTTGAGCTAACTCCTCTTTCTCAAAGGCTCCGGGCATCTGCCTGCCCCCCTCAGAAGATAGTTTTGTTATTTAATGCTTTCCTAATGCTGTATAATGCACAGATTGGATAAACTGCAAATATTTACCTTTCTCAAAAATATTGATTTAAGAGGATTAGTCATTTAGTCTCATGCCATTTTTATTTTCACCGAATGACTGTGAGTGATTCTAAAATTCTCCTTCGCAAATATCCTGAAAGGAGAGGAAGGAGAACAAATTGTTCTGAATTGAGGACTAAATTTGATCCTGTAAGTTAGAAAGCTCCCCTCTAAGACTTGGTAAAGATGCAATCACTGTCAAAGTGCTTGGGTCTTGCTTTTTCTATGTCCCAAAGGACACGAGCACGTGTGTGTGTGTGTGTGTGTGTGTGTGTATGAATGGCCAGTTTCCTCAAATAAATCTCCTTGTATCTTATTCCTTCGCAAAGACAGACCACCAAAATGTCTGGGCAAGAGTTACAAAAAGAAGACTAGACCACCAGGCTGACTGGGCAAGCTACAAAAAGAAGAATCACCAGTCTTGGACCTGTGGAAATAGACCACGGAAACACAAATTGTTAGTGTTTCAGAGATGGCTAACAGCAATTTCTTCAGTTTGGAGGTAAGAACCTTGTGCCCAGGAAGCTGCCTTCTTGGTTGGAGGTAGAATGGGGGTGTCCAGGGTCCTCATGTAGAGCTCTTCAGCTCCTCTCCACAGCCAGGGCCAAAGACATGGGTGTTCAGGGACAGCCATCATGCGGGCTTAGAATGCCTCATAATCCCAGCATGTGGTGACTTCTTGGTGTAGAGCTTTCACAGCGGGAGACATAATGAAGTAAAGACCAAGATCGGAATATGGCTGTTTAGATTTGCAGATAGAATGTGGGAGTGAGAAGGAGTGAGATGGAACAGGGATGAGGGTCAGAAATTCGGTTCAGGGCTACGGCCATGCCACTGTGAACACACGCCATCTTGTCAGATCTTGGAAACTAAGCAGGGTCGGGCCTGGTTAGTACTTAGATGGGAGAAATTTGGTTCAGGCTGGGATCGGGGAGGTAAGAAAGGGAGTGTGTATACCATTTCTGTGTAAGAGGAGAAGAGAAAGGACGTCTGACTTAAGCATTCCAAGAAATCTATGTGTCTATGTGAGTGTGCATGTTGTATATCATTTAAGAGTCACAGTTGTGGGACCAACTCTCAGCTCCATTACTTACTAGTTGTGTACCAGGCAGATTAGGTCATGTCCTCTCTCCAGGCCTCAGACTCCACAGGTCTAAAGCAGGGAGAATTTTAGTAGTTACTTCAATTGGGATTGTGAACATTAAATGAGATTATCTATGCAAAACACTTGGAACGGTGTCTGGCTATGGGTAAGTGACCTGTAAATGTGTGCCGCTGTCACACCAGACAACATTTATGACCCATACCTTTGAGGCACCTGATTTTCTGGGACTCTGCCCCCCACGTACGCTTCTCACCTGCTGTAAATAAAGCTAACACCTTCCACTCAGACTGCGTGCCAACACTTTTGTGCCTAGAAAGGGACAAGGTCACCTAATAAGACCACTCCTCTGTGGGGTGAAGCCCGGCCCTCTAATCCCCACCTCACACTGGCTTCTGACAGGGGTTGACATGGTCAGGTGTTTACCAACCATAGCTTCTATCTCCATCCCTAAATGAAAACCTAGTCTTCTTCTTTCAGTAAGAACTTTTGTGTCTGAATTATCTTATGAAATAAGTGAGATCTTACAACTTCTCATAGATTTTTCATTAAACAAACAAACCCTTTTGCATGACGAGAACAAGATCACCACATTGAATAAAGGTTTTTTAAATTATGTTTTTAAATGTTTATTTTTGAGAGAGAGAGAGACAGAGACAGAGCGTGAGCAGGGGAGGGGCAGAGAGAGATGGAGACACAGAATTTGAAGCAGGCTCCAGGCTCTGAGCTGTCAGCACAGAGCCCCATGCAGGGCTCGAACTCTGAACCATGAGATCATGCCCTGAACTGAAGTCAGAAGCTTAACCTACTGAGTCACCCAGGTGTCCCTGGATAAAGATTTTTATTCATCATTATAGTTCATTATTTAAAAAAGCAAACTTGCTTCTTGTTCCTTCTTTCAAATCACTTTATGGGTCACTTTCTGGGGATTTCCTGGCCTTTGAACCTTGGTGACCATAGTTATTGGAACGTTTTTACTAAATCAGGCTGTTCTGAGCTGACTGGGTACCCAGAGTCCTGCCCTTCTCCAGAGGGAAATGAAATACCGCCAGGTCAGATCTGGGGCTCTGGGGCTTCAGGAAAGGTTCTATCCGAAACAAGTCTGAAATAATTGGTTAAACAAGAAACCCAGGGCGGACAAACGCCCAGGTCCGAAAATGGAAGAGGACTCTGGCAGCTGGAGAAGCCCTCTGCTCTCTGCAGGGGCTGAGGCTGTGAGAGGCCATGGTCCGGCTGTAGGCCATGGCGAACTGCTGCTCTCACAGCTTCCTGCCTGGACTGAGGCCATGGCAGCTGTCTAGTGAGGACCCTCTACTCAAGCAGCCTCCAGAGGGTCCAAATCTCTGGTCCTACAGGACTTGTGCTTCCCACCGACCATTATTCATCGCCGGGTGACATCACCGGGGTGGACTGGGTGTCCTCGGTGGTCTCCGGGCTCAGGGCAAGTTTTGGTCAGTCTAGAAATGTGTGTATGTTGGGGAATCATGGGTGTGGGCTAGTGGTGGGATATGGCTTCCCCTGAGGGCTGGCTAAGGCCCAGGCTAAGAAAACGTGACTATAGATTTGTGACATTCTGGATTGACGATTGAGTAATACTGTTGCCTGTCTTCTTAGCAGCTTTCTTCCTCACTTACTGACAGTTATTCCAATACCCGTGACACATCTACCAAGAGCCAGACCTGTGCTGAGTGACAGAGGGATGGAGAAGAGGAGACAGCAGTTGGTCTTCAGGCGGTTGGGTCTATAGCTGAAAAATCTTAAGTAGTTCAGAAAGAGAGAGAGATAGAAATATATATATATATTTCTATTTTTGTTTCTCAGGACAACCTTGATTAATATACAGGAATCCAGTCTCTGTTTCTTCATGACTGTCATAGTTTATTCAACAGTCTTTATTTATACTTATATTTCTGATGGTAAAATGCACACAGTGGAAAACACAAACAATACAAACAAATAGTGCCAAGATGGCCCCTGTGAGCATCTTGCTGAAAGCCTTTTCTTTTCCTCTGCATATATTGGCATGTATACCCAACACAATTGGAATCATGGGTCTTTATCCTTTTTTTTTTTTAATACCATTAATTGTAAGCATTTTAAAAATGTCTTAAAAATATATGGAAAGATGTTTAGTGCCTGCCCACTAGTCTGTTTTTGTTGGAAATTTAGGTTGTTTCCTACTTTTCTGTTATTATAAATAGTTCTGCTAGGCAAGTTTTCATACATAAATTTATGTCTGCCTCTTTGATTATTTCCTTAGGGAAGATTCCAGGAAGGGGAATTACTGAGAACTCTGGCCTCATAAATGAGAGAATTATGAAAAATGGAAGGGGAAAATGCAATAAATTAAATGAATTGGGTTGCCCGACTCATTTTAACTGAGAAAATAAGAAACACCTGACCCCCTCCAGGGCTGAATTCATGGTCATCCATGTTACTTAGGGAGACCGGGAGGCATGGTAGAAAGAGCAGTGGATTAGGAGTTGGAGCTTGAGTTCTGGGCCCACTTCCCTTCTCTTTACAACCGAGAGCTAATGGACAACATGCTCTGACATGTTCTGCTCCCGGTTCATGGATGAAGTGGAGATACAGCAATTGCCCTGCCTCCTTTGCAAGAGATCGTGAAGAGCCATTTGGTGGAATGAGTGTGAATGGCTCCTTCACCCACCTGGCCTTTCCTCTTCCTTTAAGAACTAGGTGGGACACTGCTTCTTCGGTGAAGTCTTCCCAAGGATAAATCAGAAGCTTCTCTCTAACGCTTGCCCCGAGCTCTTTTTTCACATATATGATGTTGAATTATAATGATTTGTTCACACTTCTCTTTCTCCAGTGGCCCCTAGGTCTGAGTCTTGTTCATCCTTTCTCCCCACCAGTGCTTAGTAAAGCGCAAGGCATGCAGAAGATGTCCAATTAATGTTGACCAAAGAAATTGTCAGGTAGAAAGTGAATATGATATTGTCCACAAGCATTTATGAAACACCAAAGATGTGTCTCTGAACTCAAAGCGCTCACATCACAGTAGAATCAATATAAAAACATTTAAAGTAGCCTTTGCTAAGTGCCCATTGGTTGTGTAGACGAAAAGCGCTGCAGGAGCTTGGAGCAGAACAAGGCACCACTGCTCAGGGCTGTAGAGGTCAGAGAAGGCTTCTCGGACCAGACCTGGGCCTCTGAGAGATGAGGGGAGAATACAAGATGTCATCCCAGAAAGGGGAGCTATGCCTGCAAGGCTGTCTTGGGTCGGCATGTAGTCCAGTATGCAGTAGGCGCTCCCTGCAAACTTGTTGAGTGAATGAATGAAGAAGACAGTGTGGCCCACACATTCCGAGAACAAGATGGCCAAGGCCATTTATTTTATCAGTACAAAAATAACATGTTGTCCAATAAATATGAATGGATTGTCTGATCACCTCATCAGTTTCCAAATGCAGCTATAAATGCTACGCTAGATTGCATCCATGCCTTGCTCAACACGACAGGCCCGTGTACTTACATGTGCTCATCTGCCTTGTGCCACGTGCACCTTGGTTCTTCATCAGATCCGTGTCTGGGGCTGGGGTGCGGCTCGGGCAGATCAGCTTCCATGAGCAAGCGACATGCAGCTTCATGGTGGTCTTCTGCTTCAGTCGCTGTTCTTTCAGACAGATGTTTTAAAAGCCACTCTGCTTTGTTCTGGCTGACAGGACCCAAGCTTTCCTTTGTGCAAGTCATGTTGCTTGCCCAAGTCCAAGAGTCAGGTGTTGTGGGGATTTATCACCAAATCATCAGTATTGCCAAATGATCATGTGGGATCCTATATTTTGCCTCTCAGCATCTTACTTTAGGAAAGAGATTGAAACTGGTCTTTGGAAATGATGGGTCACACAGACGTTTTTCAGTTAACGCTAGTTCAGCTGTGAATAACAGATCCCTGCCCCGCAAGACCTCCCCCCACAAAGTGAAACAAGATAGTAGTTTAGTCCTTTCTTGCACACAAGAAGTTGGGAGCAGGGAGTCCCGGCTTTGTCTGTTGACTCCGTTGTCACCAGCTACACAAACCTTTTCTTGTGTTCCCCTCATCTTCCCTAGGATGTGGTTTGTTCCCTCATGCCAGAGATGGTGGCGGTGCTATCAGACGTCTCAGCCAGTTTCCAGACAGCAGGAGGGAAGAAGGGAAGAGAGAGTGCAGAACTTATAGAACTTTCTGGAAATCCCACACAACACTCCTGTTTACATCTCATTGGCCAGAACTGTGATGGCCACACCAAACTGTGGGGGAGAGGCACCTGGGTGGCTCAGTCGGTTAAGCCTCCGACTTAGGCTCAGGTCGTGATCTCACGGTTCATGGGTTCGAGCCCTGCGTCGGGCTCTGTGCTGACTGCCAGCTCAGAGCCTGGAGCCTGCTTC